ACGACCTAAAGTAATTTTTTAGAGTGTGGTACTTGAGATTTGACAAAGCGGTAATATCGTACAACTTCATCATGCTAGACGAAGATCACTTCAAATACCTCTCATAATCAATACTAGAACATGTCAAAGGCCCCTCAGTGAACTATATGTACATGGTCAAGACCCCTTTATCCACAGTCAAGACCCCCCAGTGTAATATAGAATACGGCCAATGCCCCTCAATGAACTACAATAAGTATATAATCACAGGTATTGTTCTGATCGATTTCAAATATCACATGTCTCACATTCCAATACATAAATAATTCATATACAATCTTTAAAATTCCATATATATCATAATAAAAGAACATTTCCACACTAATCATGTAATTGGACAAATAATTCATATAATTGCATAAAATGTATAATAGTATAATTAATTTATCGATACTTGAAATATATTTAAGTTTTCCCACTAACAGATCTATGGATAGCAATCTGGTTAAATTAAAGAGCATTTCCAAACATCCACGTCAACACCTGAAATAACGAAAAAACAACTCAAATTAAAACCTGATAAGTAAACTAATGCAAATCCACTACGTAATTCATCCTCTTCTATATTTATTCTTGTATATCTATTTTTCTTAACTTTCTTCTCTTTAATTATTTACCAAATAATCACCACACATATCCTATACCAAGTATGATATCTTGCACTTGCTCCCAAAAGATCATATCCTTTCACCAATGTGCCTTAATCATTCACATCATTAGAAATAACAATTTACCAATAGGAAAGTTATGTCTTTATTTTCAATCTCATAATCCCAATTATGGTCACTAACAATATATACTCCTTTATATAAATAATTTTAACACCTAATCCCTAATATTTACCCTTAATTTGGTTTTCATAATAAAATATCCAATAAAATCACATGATTGACAAAATTAGCACTATATTTCCAGAATATTGGAACTAGCACTCTTTCTTCTCTTTTCTTTTCCAATTCTTTTCTTTCATTTTCTCCACTATGTTTCTCGATTCTTCTTCTCTCTCCTCTTCCTCCTCCTCCTCCTTCATCTTTTCCTTTCTTCTATCGGTCTCTTATACTCTTCTCTCTATTTCCCCCAAAAATGATAAAAATAGATCAATATTCTTCTATGTTAATGGATAAGTATTATATAATTGCAAATCAAGTCCGTAATCTTCATATAATATAACATTTAGTCCTTTCATTTATCATGTCAAAAACTAAATTCCAAGATTCCTGTTTATTTTATTTTTGGCCCTTAAAGTACTAGAAATTGCAAATAAAGCCCCATGAAAATCACTCATTCAACTTAAGTCCTTATTTGGCTTTGAATTTGACGATTGAGTTACTTTGACTTTAACTTTAAATGAATGTGGTGTAACAGCTATGACATATACGAAACACATTTGTACAAAATATAATTTTGTACGAGACGTCATAGTAAAGAGAGAAGTGACTTTGTTGTACATTTCAATGCATCACATGGTAGTTGATTCGCTTACTAAACTGATACCTAGAGATGTATTTATGACACATGTTAAATCTTTAGTATTGTGTAAACTTTTGTAATGTACCTTGTAAAATCTTAAATATCCATCTATGAACAAATCTTTTTGAGTTCATTCTTTATTTCAATTAGTTATGAGTAATTTGAAGGATTGGCCCACTCACATGAGCAATCACCTCAAATATTTTGAAATGTGTTGACAAGAGATAAAGTGATGATGTTGTGTATGTGATCCAATCACCTTAATAAAGAATCAAGATGAGATTATTGTAAGTAATTGAAGTTGATTCCTTGGTCCACAAGACTTAATTAAGCTACTAGTTGAGTTCTCGATTAAGATTGTCTAGAGAAATAAATATAAGGAAAACTCAAGTTTAGTATCAAAGAATGCTTGATCTAAGATCTGTACTATGCATTTAATTTATCGAACAAGACATACATCCTTAGAAAAGGGAGAAGAAACCATAACACATGAATCATGCAATGTGTGCTTTGACGAAAAATGGGAAATGAAATAATGGATCTTTGCTTCTTTATTATGTGAGTCCCTGAGGTATATATAACCTCATTTAATATATCCTTTTTAACTGTTTCTCAAGACTTTATTGTAGTTTTTCTACTTTAGCATATTGACAATAATCATGAATGATTTGGTCTAATGGAGTATGTCTAGGAAAGAAGCTATTTTAAGGTTCAGAGATTCGAGTGGAAAAGAAAGACTATTCTATCTAACGCGTTTGTATTCATCGGTCGGATAATTGTGTTAACTAATTGATTTTTTGACACAATTGTGAATGCAACATATGGTGTAGTGTTCAAGTATGTTCTTGATTTATTGAGGAATCAGAAATAGTACTTGAACTAGATGTTAGAAAATAAGTCTATGGTATGATGAGAAATATGATTTCTCTTATAGAGCTGTTATATATCCCTAATAGGTATATAGCATTAATGCTCTAAGTTACTAGCGGGTCGCATGATTCATTTATCAGTATGAACCTTGTGCGCTAAATCTTTGAATAGATTTAATTGATGACTGATGATTTCAGGAGATGTTGGAAATGGATGGATGATCCATGTGGATTGGCCCGACCCAAGTAAAATAAAGTGGGTTGGAGGGACTAGTTATTCTTTGAATTGTGAATAACTTTCCCACTACTCATAACCAACACATGCATACAATAACTTCCAAGATATTTAATTCACAATATGGAAGTTGAAATTGATCTCTCTATCAAGAAAAACATGAAAATTCGTAAGTAAAAATGGTATATATCACATTTTTGGGGCATTCAATCATCTTGGAAAAGGCATTTGGGTTGTGGGTAAGGAACTCCTTCAATTTGATAGAGATTTGTGCTGACAAGATCAGGCAAAGTAAGGCAAGTTATTCAACACATTTAATCTTGAGAAATTTTCAATTCAGTTAAGTTTCTACAACATTGACAAGTAGAAGCATGATTAGTAAAGATTTACATTACTTCAATGGATAAGTGATACTAGGTATGGACAATTCAACGAACTGCTGTTCAGTTCTTGATTAATGTCATTTCAAGACTTTCTAAGTGGTCTAATTTGACAAAAAGGATAATTTGGTTGGTGATTGAAAAATTGCAGATGTGATAAAGTACACAGTATGAATCGTCATATATTTTCTCAGTCTCTTTCTGCATCTCCTAACATTCATCATATTTATCATTTTAAACAAGTCTTGGTGAAAATTTCTGAATCTTCCACTTATTTAGAAGGGAACTCCACAGGGCTGATTCTAGTGTTCTTCTGAATCCATCTCGTTGTCCTAATCTTTTCTGATTGCAAAGGGAAAATGTATTTTCATTGTTGAAATCTTTGTCGTTTAAGAATGGTGCCCAAAACCTTACCCCTATTTTTTAAGTATAACAATATTTTGCTCTTACATAAATAAATATGATTTGTGCTACAATATTAATATAGAATAATTACAAATTCTTCTTTTTTTGGTTGGTTAGGAATTATTGTTTTCACTTCTCAGATCAAGGGTTCTCTCCCTCACATTCCCACTTAGGGTTAGGAGTGGGCACGAGTCGGATTAGGGAACAATCTAACCATCAAACTAACTTTTTGGGTTCGATTTTGTCCCAAATTGGACCACAATCGCCCACATCATAAAATAGAGTATCAAACTAGCCGTCATCACTGCTATAACCACCACCATCCTGATTCGATTCACCATAAATCACCACCATAGCACCGAGTATGGGGAAATGAAAATTAAGAAAAAATAATATAAAAGCAGTAACGACATTATAATACTCACTAGTTAAATAACACGGAAAAATTAAATACAAAGAGCCAGAATCCCAAAAGGGTCCAGCCCAACCTGCGGATTCCACTCTAGTGTAGATTAGCCATTTGTTTGATTTACCTCTCCCAGTGGCCATGGAAATTAGACTCGAACTGCCGTACTTCATCAATTTCGTGTTGATCATCATGGCCTTACATGATTAGTAGCATTCCATTTCTTTCTTAGTAATATTAAGTAATGAGCAATACACGTAGTGATACATAGCAATATTCTTTCTAATGTAGTGAGGACTGAAAAATAATTGAAAAAATCATATGATAGAAAGACTGTTATTAATTGTAAACTTGCAATTAGATTTCGAATAATTGATTTTGTTCCACAAATCGTTGATTCTATAAAATATTAGTTTCAAATTAAGAAATATTCATATGTCACAATTTTATTAATTAATCAAATCCAAGCAAATACATTAGCTAGCCGCAACCACTCTTATAATCTAATGCTTAACCTAATTAAAACTCTTTTAATTCCTAAACTCCTGACAAATGATAAATTTTGACCTAATTTTGATCCTAGTTAAATTAACATGGCATATTTAAAAATACGGTTTGTAGATTGGTCGAAACCAATTTTCGATACAAAATCCGAACAAAAGATTCATCTTTCAAATTGGGCGTTGGATCTTTAATCGATGTCTAATAATGCAGGAAATTCTTGCATTAAGTAGATGGCCAGATTGGAGATCTCAGTCAAACCTTGCCGGAAGGTGAAGGACCTTTCTCCCTGGTCCCTACTCAGATATAGGGTGGACAAAATTCGCAAGTATCGATCAGATCAAGCCGGAACTGTCCAGTTCGGTACATGTTGTAAAATAATAATTATTTTCGATACTGGTAACTTTCGGTTTTCTTAATTATGTTTATATTTTAGCGGACATGTATTCTTATATTATTAATCTGACATGAAGTAATTATTGACCACTAAACCCGCAGCAGTTTCCAGGTTATGTCCGTTGCAAGATTTTCAAAGTCTACTACAGTGAAAAAGAATTAAATGATCACGGAAAAAGTGCAAAAGTGAAAAAATATACATACAACGGATCATGGAAAAGGTCTCCCAGTCATGCTGGCGTGCAAATATAAATTGTGAAAATCGGATAATACAACATTGTATAAGTTTTTTGAGGAAGATGTCTACTGCTAGTTTTCTCGTTCTTCTCTCTATTTTTCATCTAATTATCCTGAACTTTGTTAATTCGAAATGCCAAGAGAGCTTCCAGTGTGGAAGTCTTGGGGTTTTGGAGTTTCCTATAAATAATTATTCGCAACCTGAATGTGGGTTCTTAGGGGTTGATTGCAATGCTAGTAGTCCAAAACTTTACCTGGCAAATGAAGAATTATCCCAATCATATATCATTCTGTCCAAGATCTCTACCAATGTGTTCTTGATTCGAAACCCTACTCTTCTAGGGTATTTAAAACATAAATTCTGTGATTTACCCTACATGGATTTCTCTCTTCCAAACTCTCCTTGTATTTCTTATACTATCTTCCGAAATATTACTTTGTTCAGATGCACCAAAAATAACAGTGAGAAACTGAAGCGTTATTTCCAGGGTTTTAAAAACTACTCAGGTTGTGAATCCTTTGATGTATATTATACTGATAGGAATCTGCTTTCAACCCCAGATGGCTGTTCAGCTGTCCCAGTGCCAACGTATTCGCGATATGATGTCAATTCGATGAATTTCTGGGATCTGTTTACCGATGAATATGAACTGGAATGGCATCTGTCTGAGGATTGCAATTGCTGTCACAATAGAGGAGGCGACTGTACAACTAACATCAGGAATCAATTTAAATGTCAAAGAGGTATAACCAGTACATAATACTTTGAGGGTAAAATATTGTCAGCTTAAATATGTATTGAGGTTAACCATTTTTCACATATTTCTCATTTAGCATCATAGTCTATAGTTGGTCATGTGATGTCAATTTAAATCAGAATCCAAATCATGTACAGAGTTCAAAGTCGATCAGTTACATACTAAAGGTCTTTTTAAATATAAAAGGCGTTATCACCGAAAATCTTTTGACTCTTATTATTTTTTATGTTCATATGGCTTGTCAAAGATTTTAGGTGCAGAAGAGAGTATAATGAGGAAAATGATTTCCCTTCTTGTTTAGTATGTTTGCTTGATCTAACATGAGTTTTCACTTCAGCTGCAGAAGAAAAAGGAAACGGAAACGGAAAAAATAAATTGAAACTGATTTTAATTGCAGGTATATCTTTAAAATTTTGTTTCCATTTCTTATGTATTTCAGTTTATTAATATAGACATTGTTTCTCATTACAGGCATTCCAGCTGCTACAGCCCTCTTCTTCGTAATTTTATTCACTTTTAACAGAAGAAACTATACACTCATTTGGAAAGGAAAAACACAAAACGACAAGGACATTGAACTATTCTTGAAGAACCATGGGGATCGTGCGCCAAGAAGATACAAATACTCAGATCTCAAGAAGATGACCAATTCATTCCGTGAAAAGTTAGGAGAAGGAGGCTTTGCTATTATCTATAAAGGAAAGCTACAAAATGATCGTCTTGTAGCGGTAAAGATTTTGAAGGAATCAAAAGGTAATGGAGAAGAGTTCATCAATGAGGTTGCAAGTATTAGCACAACTTCCCACGTTAACATTGTCACTCTCCTCGGATTTTGCTTTGAGGGTTCCAAAAGAGCTCTCATTTATGAGTTCATGCCAAACGGATCTCTTGACAAGTTCATAAGCAACAATAACTCCTTACCAAAAGGTCAATTAGGATGGGAAAAGTTGTTAGAAATTGCAGTTGGCATTGCTAAGGGAATAGAATATTTGCATCAAGGTTGTAATACACGAATTTTGCACTTTGACATAAAGTCTCACAATATTCTTCTAGATAAAGACTTCAATCCTAAGATATCGGATTTTGGCCTGGCAAAAATTTCCCCCAATAGATCAAGTACAGTGTCAATGCTAGGGGTGAGGGGGACAATAGGGTATATAGCTCCAGAATTAGTTTATAGAACCCTTGGAGAAGTTTCTTACAAATCAGATGTCTATAGCTATGGGATGATGGTTCTAGAAATGGTTGGTGAGACGAAAAATACTGATGCCAACGTGGATCATTCAAGTGAAATATATTTTCCTGATTGGATATATATTCACCTCGCACAAAATGCTCAACTTGATCTCAATCGCATTGTGAAAGAAGATGAACATTTGATGATAAGGAAAATGACAATAGTTGGCTTATGGTGCATACAAACTAATCCTACAATGAGGCCATCAATGACAAGAGTGTTAGAAATGTTAGAAGGGAACATAGATTCCTTGCGAATCCCGCCTAAACTGCACATTGCTTCACTACATATATTAGCAGCAAATCCTTCAACTTCTGAGTCAGCTCTCTCTGATGTTAATGAATTTTAAAAGCACTGTCGTGATGTCGACCAAGCATATAAATAGTAATCCAATTTGGAAGTTGTTAATTTCTTTGTTGAATCTCTTGGCTCAATGTTAAACATCAGACAGGTGTAAAAATAAACTGGAATCTGCTTTCCAGTATGTTCATTATCCTTTGTTACAATAGAAAGAATATGCAGGAAGAGCTAATTTATTAGGTAATTATGGTGTTGCACGGCATTTACTAATTAGAAGTCACATTTGCTGGGTCTTATTCTTATAGATACTTCCATGGAAAAATGCTACCAGCTACTGACACTTAAACGAACTGCTGTTTAATTTTTAGTTAATCTCGTTTCAAGACTTTCGAAACCCTAAGTTGACAAACAAATAATCTAAACCGGAGATTAAAAAAAATTGCAGAACTTGAAAAAGTACAAAGTATGAGTCATTCGTCATATTTGTCAGTTTCAACAACTCTAGGTGAAAATTTCTAAATCTTCAGGCTTGTTTAGCCTTCATGATTTAAAAAGGAACTTCATAGGGCTGATTCCGGTTGTTTGTTTTTCCTCTCTCTATTTCATATAGTTGTCCTAATCTTTTCAGTGCTGAGGTCAAGAATTCTCTCGTACACTCCCACTTAGAGGTTGTCACAAGTTGAATTGGGACATAACCCAACGATCAAACCGACTTTTCGGTTTGGGTCAAAGCTCAAACTGAAAATCGAACCGTTTAAGTGCCTATATTAAACCGATTCAAACTGAACATGTTCGATTCCATTCGATTTTGACTCAAATTGGATCATAATCACCTACACGGCTACACCATAACCTGGAGTACCGAACCCCAACATCATCAGCACCACCACCACCATTCTATTCACCATAATTCACAACCATTGCACCGCATTTGTTGATAAAACTTAGAAAAAAAAAAAGAGAGTAGATTAAGATCTTTATACTATGCCGCCACGTTAAGAAATATATGCTACACTACCACCATAACACTGAGTTTGGGAAAATAAAATAAAATAAAAAGGAAAAAAAGAGTACATGATCCTCCGTGAGCGAGTTTTAGATTTGGTGAGGCCATGGGTTGATCTACAGAGGGATCCGCTGTCCCCATACTAGATTTGAAATCCAAGATTTTGCAATAGATTTTACACAAGATTTTCAAAAGAATTCCTTATCATTTTCAATTTTACCCCCACAATTAAAATTTTGTGAAATTTACCCCCACAACTCTACTCTCTTGGTTCCGTCCCTGGGCGAGGCATGGGTAACTTTTGCATCTACATTATGCAGATTTGCATGATGGATGGTGTTAATACTTGGTTTGGGTGTCAATGCTGGGCTGAAAGATGGCGGAGGAGAGAAATGGGGATTAGGGCTCATTTAGGATGCAATAACAACTTTTATTGTTGTGTGCCTTGTTCGCCCATGAAGACAAGTCGAGCATGAAGATTTTGAAGTCTATACTCGAAGTTGCTACTTGATCTCTGTAGTATAATAAAGAACATAAAATGCTTAAGAAGAAAATGAATATTAAAAGTTGGTATTTTGGATGCAAGAAAGTGTAGAAAACGACAGAGAACACTGGTTCGGTCCTTGTGATGTTCACAACGTACATTATTTACTCTAATATTCAAATTTTTAGAGGATGGTATATAAAATACGAAAGTTGGAAGTATGAAGAATTAAAGAGAACTTTTGGAATTCAAGATCTAGGCACCGTTTGGTATCCATTCTTAACACGGTTAATGAAAGTAGACGTTTTACCAAATTGGCAAAAAAAAATTTCCTTTCTGCCACATATTAAGGCACCGTTTGGTATCCATTCTTTTTTTCATTCTCATTCTTCTACTAATTTTCAACCATACATTCATCAATAAAATAATATTTTCCATCACATCAATAACTTTTCCTTCATTTTCAACCACAAAAAATGTGTGATTTGACACAAAGAATGCATTGTTTTCTAGAATAATGGTTGCCAAACGGTGCCCTAATATAAGAACACACTCAAATGAGGAAAAGGCATTTGAAGTTATGGAGTTAATGTAAAGTTTTGAAATATAAAAGATATGAACAAATTTGAATGAAGCTAAAAATTATGTATTCATCACTTCCAGAATGAAGAATTCCATCTTTTTGGTACACCGAGCTACAAAGGGAATATATACAGCAGTGAATGGAATCTTTCCTAACAAACTACCTGACAAACACGTGAAAGAAAAACAAAATGAAGCAATACAATTTTGTGCAAAAAGGGCCTAACTAATCAGCTTCTAGATTATTCTTCCGTTGAGTCCTTGTCACTAATCCACCTTGGCTCTCTTCTTGTTGACTGTGTAGATGATTCATCATATTGGAATATTGCATCTCTTGCATCTTCAATAGCCCCCCTCAAGATGGAGAGTATATATTCGTCACTCCCATCTTGGATAGGCATGAATAAAAATTTTGTGAACTTAAAGATTTGGTTAAAGCACAGCAAGCTGAGAACTACTGGAAACATGTTGAGTCACGATGCTCCCATCTTGTATCTTGTCTCGAACCAAGTGGCAATCAAACTCAATATATTTGTTTCTTTCATGAAAGATCAGATTTGTAGCTATATAGAACTGCCTTATTGTCACAGTTTAGGACAGCGGCTTCACGATTTTCGATCTTCAAGTCTTTAAGTAAGTATCTAAGCCAAGTGATTTCACAACATAGGTTAGCCATTGCCTTGTATTCCACCTCCGTAGAGGATCGAGACACCACATGCTGTTTCTTCGATTTCCATGATATTAAAACCTTGCCAATGAAGACATAATAACCAGTTACTGACCTTCTGGTATCAACACAAGCCCCCCAATCTAAATCACTATATCCGTCTAGCTGTATGTTCGAATTTGCAGGGTAAAACAGTCCTTGACCTGGTGTTCTCTTGATGTACATTAAAACTTTATGAGCAGCATATAGATATGGAATTCTAGGACTTCCCATAAAATGACTTAATAGTTGAACTAAGTAGGCGAGATCTGGTCTGGTGATGGTTAGATATAGCAATCTTCCTACCAATCTCATGTAAAGTGATGTTTCAGGTAGCAACTCTCCTTCATCTTTGCTAAGCTTTACATTTTGATCAAAAGGAACTCTGGCAGGAGCAGAGCCAATAGTGTCTGAATCCTTTAAGATATCTAGAGCATATTTCCTTTAGCAAATGTGAATTCCATCTCTAGTTCTTGCAACCTCAATACCTAGGAAGAATTTTAATTTCCCTAGGTCTTTGATTTTGAATTTATCATTGAGGGAGACCTTAAGCTCATTAATGGTATCAATACAATTCCCAGCAATTATTATATCATCGACATATACTAGTATTGCGGTAAACAAATCACCAGTTGACTTGATAAACAGGCTGTAATCAGCCTTTGATTGAATGAAACCTTGTTCGACA